TCAACAATACAAGATTATATGATAGTTCTAAACATAAGCAGGAGTAATTTTGAAAATAACAAAGTTATGAGTCAAAATAATTGAAATAGGTTTTTAATAATAAACAATTTCAATAAAGTATAGATTTTACAAACAAAGTCTCAATTAATATAAATATCATAATAGAAAAAAATAAAATATGTGTATGATTTTATTAAATATATACATATATACACACATATTTAAACATAATAATTAAACAACCATCAAATATAGATATTTTTTATGAAGTGATTTACCCTCGAGTTTTAAGATACTTATAAATGACTTACCTAAAACTCTATTGAATGTTTCTTGATCTATAGCAACTGTGCCATCAGGCTTAACAACTACTACTAAAGTATCATCAGCCTCTTCATCTTCTGGTTCTTCGTCTGCTTTCTCAGTTATTTTTGAACACGACATAATAAACAGTTAACCTAAAAAAGATTTTAAAGTAAATTAAAAGAAATTTAACAAAAAATGCAATATTATAAAATAAAATGTATGTGTAGTATAGTAATGTAATTATTTTCAACATAATATATTAATAAATATACGATAACACTATCAAATACTTAAAAAAAATTAATGTATCAGATTATCTATTTAAAATACAACTAAAATATTTAAAAAAAAATCATATCATTCAAAAAATGTTTAAGTTCATTTTACAATATTTTTACTATTATTATTCCAGAATGATCAATGAAATATATTTTATAATAACAACATAATTTTATAAGGTATTGAGGGAATTATCATTTCATAAAAATAATTTATAATAATAAATTAATAACCATCATTAACCTGTCTTGAACGGTGAAAATGTGCAATATTAAAATATGTAAAAATCCATAAGTAATTTGTAAAACAATTTACAATTTGATATCAGCATAAAAACAAAATAAACAATCTAGTGTTATTATTATTGTATTACGTATTTAATAATAATAATAAGTATAACGTTTATGATGCGTAAGTTACACCGACTGTTATGGATAGGTGAACCGAAAATTTTTCCCTCCAACAGCTCCAGTGTGGGTGACGCGGGGCCACACAAACCCGGGCGAAGGACACAGCTTGTCTTGGTGGTAGGAGTGAGATGGTATGTGTATAGTAGTGACGGAGAGAGGAAAAAAATTCACAACACTATAAACACATCCCCGGTAAATTATTTCGTGTAATGATATTATCACGACATACAGGCGCGCGAAAATCGATGTGAGCATAACAAGTTTAGTATTATAACATTGCAATTAAATATTTTAAATTTATGCGAAGAGGTACAACGATAACAATTTTATGTACTTACCGGTTCGGTTACAGGCAGTGAATATAATCGGGACTCACGAGTCTTTAACTGTAACGTCTGTAACACAACCGCCGACGGTTCGGCGCCGTTATCACTGCTGGCTGGATTGCTAACACGATCCGACTCGTTCGTCTGAACCCATCGCCATGGTTCGTTGAAGTGTAGGTACCGTCCTGTTATATTCGCGATACTGCGCTTATCGGGAGTCTACAATTTGTTTCATATTGACTTTTAGTTTTTGCGCAGAGGCCTACAGATTTTCAGGTGCGGTATTCGCGGGGTCGGACTATATAGCAAATTCTCGTCGGGTAATGGGTTATCGTCTTCTCGATTTAATTTGTTGTTAACCGTGTGTTGGTAATCGCAATTCTGTTCACTGTTGTGATATTTATTATTATGTGTTTAAGCGCCGTCCGCCATTGTTTTGCGTCATGGAAAAGTGAATAACTGTAGAAGAAAAATTGATATTGATAAAGACGTTGTGGTGGTGAATGGTGATAACAAGTATTTAAAATAGTTAAAATTACTAAAAAAAAAATACATTTTAAACTTTAAACTTTTACTACAAAAAAGTCTAAAAAAACCCAAAGTTTATTTTTGCAATATTATTTTATTAATTTATAATATTATTATGAATAATCTATAAAATTTTAATGGACACTTCGGTGTTGGTTTTAAGCGTTAATCGGTAAAATCATCAATCTTGAGTCTGAATTACTTATTTTAAATAATTCAAAATTTATAATTAGTTTATGTTAAGCTTTACATTTACTTGAGTCCCGAACTTATTACAGCCGTTAATTTGTACTGTAGATAAGTAAATACGTTATCGGTTATCGTCCCATCTGTGCATTAAAAAATCAAATCAAAAATAAAACAATTGATAAAATGATAAATATTAAATGGTTGTAATAAATAAGAACCATTTAAATTTTATTTAAAAATTATCAAAATTATATTAAAATGTCGAAACCGTTAATAAAATATGTTTAAGTTTTCAATTCTCTGGTTTATAAAACGGATATTGTATTTGAAAAGCGTTTCCTAGAACTTTTCATGTAATAATGCATTTTGCATTTAAATTTGAGCCCTAATTAATAATTATAACAACCTAATGTTTAGGAATTGTACATATTGCTGCATGACAAAAAAACATAAAAAATATGTACAAGTGATTAGGCACTGACTAGTAAATCCAAAAATGCAAATTTATGAACATAACAGAGCATATCATTATTAAGTATAAAATCACTAATTCAACCGTAGGCTCCAAAGGTTAGAATTATCAGCTTTTAAATTTAATGAAATAAAATATTATTGTTAATTAAATTGTATAAATTTAGACCAAAACTATTTTTAAAATTTTTTTCTTGTATAACTTGTATGATTCAAGCATTTGGACATAAAAAAATTACTTAATAAAATTGCAATCAATAAAATAATTTTCTTAAAAAAAATTAGAAAGTAATAAAAAGTCAGATGTACTTTAAAAAAAAGAAAAATATTTAAAGAGATAAGAAAAACAAACTATTTTATCATAATTCATAATGAATGAGCTCCTTGATAGGAAAAAAATATAAAAATTTTTAAATACAGAAGTAAACTAGTAAATATATTTTTTAGAATCTATTTTTATCATTACTTTTAACATTTTATTGAAAATCATACTGAAATATATAGTATAAAATAATAAATATCAATTATACAGATTCATTTTTTCTTACCAGGTTATTTTAATATTAATTTTTTTTAAATAATTAAAAACAAATTTAGATTTATTATCTGTTGAATATTTATACTTAGAAGTTAGATTTATTATTAAAACTCATTAATTCTAAATGAGAAGTATGTATAATTGAGAAAACAAATAGTGTCAGATACCAGACCATGAGTTACTGGTTTTCTGTAAAAGTTACTTGGAAGTTGGAACAATAATTTTCTAATAATATTGACTGTATTGAAAATAAAAGGGAATTAAACCAGTACAGAGGTGATTGGTAGCTAGTATTTATAATTTTTGTAATTACTAATTAGTGTATGGATATAAATTTATAATTACAGATTATTTGTAACTCATGTACAAACATCAGACTTTAATATTATACTTTTTATTTTATTTAAATTTATATTTGATAACTTTAAATGACACAAATGGGAGGAGAGTTAAGGATAATTAGCATCCTCTGATTAAGATTTAGTTTTCCAATATTTTTTTTACTTTCTTGTAACAGCCAACAGGTAAATAGATTGTATAAGTAATATATATTAAAAAAAAAAAAAAAAAAAACAAAACAAAAATGGTAAGATAATAATGGTAGGCAATGTTATAGAATTTTGGATAAACCAATGTAATTGATTCATAGCTCTTTATAAATATATATATGAAAAAAAAAATCATTGTTTATTTTACCTTATTTAACCTGAACACATGTTTAAATAATAATATTACGATAGTTTTAAGTACAATTTATTTTATAACCAATACTGAATGTAAAGCACTGTCCTATTTTTTTTTGTTTTTAGTAATTAAGTTTTGTTTATTTGGTTTCTTTCAATTTTTTTGACATCATGAAGCAATTGATAACTTATTAGTTATTACTTACTTGCCTCTAGTGATAAGATTGATTTATGAGACTTTGAACATTCATTAGAATTTAGAAGTGATGCCTCACTATTAACATAAAAACATATAGACTAAGTGAAAAGAAAAAAGTTTAGAGAAAACATTTTATATAACAAATATCTTGGGTCCATTAATATTAAACTTATGGATTTATTATATAAACATGTATAAGCCAATATAACTAATACTACATCATTGTATCTCATCTCTTTTCTCTGTGGTTTAAATGTTAGTTTTTTTATGGCTCAGAAGCTTCTGTATAAGTAAGAACATAGTTTATTTTACTATTATGTTGATCTTAAAATTTATTTGCATTTAACATAGGAATGTCATATATAATGTATAATATCAATGATTGGAAAAGGATTTGAGATTATCATATTACATATTATATTGGCTATATGTTTTCAATAATGTCGATACTGAAAAACTTCTGGTAGAGTATAGGTGAATTCCAGTCTGTACAATAATATGTCTACGTTCCTCAGTAAAAACTAATTATTATTTGAATATTAAATTATAAAAATTATGCTTTTAATTAATTTGTTAATTTTACATTGTTTTCTTTTTTTTTAAAAAAAGGTCAACAAACTTATAAAGAAATAAATATTTTTAATTAAGGATAAGTATGGTAAACAGACATTTCAACATTCTATTGTATTTAGTTATTTAACATTTTTTGTTTCAGTTATGGTATTTTTTTTTATTCTCTTGAAAGCAATATACAAACTAAATAAATAATATTTTAGATATTTATATTGAATACTTTAAATTTTAACACAACTTTTTTTAACAATTATGTTTAAATTAACAAATTTAGTGACTTGGTATAATGATTAATTTTTTTAGTGTTTATGTTACCACTTTCATAGTCATGACATGTTTATTGATTATAAATAAAATATAAAATAAGGTTATATAATAATAAAAAAATACTATAACCAATCATAAAAAAAAAAATCCTTAGTTTAAGCTGAGATGCTATTTTTCACTTGTTTATAAACCATTAAAAAAAACAAACTCATTTTGGAATATATTATTTAGTGATTGCTGTTTACATGGGTGGTTCTTGGCCATTAGGTTCTTGATTTTTCATAACATATGGTAATTCAGGTGGCAATGAGTATGGTACCATTTCTAATGCCTCAAATTCTCCATTATCCATCCTGTAAACACCATACAACATTAATTATCTACAAATATTTTAATATTTAATTGTTTTTACTTCAATGCTAAACCAATAGTAGCTGGACTTTGTGCCTTAGCAATATTAGAATTCAAACCACACTCTGACAACGTTTTTGTCCCATCCATGATTTCTTCTTTGTAATAAAGTTGTTGATTTTCTGGTGCTACTTTAATGATACCTAAAATAATAATGAATAATATAGTAAATATTAAAAAAATTCAATAAATGAATTTTAGTCTTGATCGTTTTTATAATTTATTGTTCCCATTAGTGTTATCAAAAATTTGTCTAACAAATTGAATTAAGGATTTAACCTCATTTACCTTTGAGGTAATATTATAAGAGGAGCTTAAAATAATATTTTTAGTAGTTGTTGATTGGGAATTTTAAATATTTTACTATCATAACTGTCTTAAAAAAATAAAGTATTTTACTTATACAAATTTTTCTTAAATTGTTCATTATAAATTATAATCATAAACAAAAAATAAATATTTAATTTTATCTGTCAGCTTTTTAAATATTGGATATTTAGAAGTTTGAAAACAGTGATTTACTTTTTATCCACCATATTTGCTATTTCGTTATTAAAATTTGTTTCATTTCAAACGCACTGGCCTATCTAATACTACACAATAATAATTATGAAAACAAATTTTAATTTTTCATGAAATCTACATTAGATCAACATTCAGTTTTTTTTTTTTATTTACTTATACCATACCATTTAATATGGTATTTATTCAATTTTCTTTGAATATTTATGGATAGTAATCAAACAAAAAAAAAAAAAAAAGTGGTAAGGTTGATAGCAAGCAAATTTTATGAAAAACTAAATCTGTTTTGAGAATCCTTAACACATCAGTTTGATCAATATGTATGTAATAGACAAAGATAGCAAACACTACTTTCAAAAAAGTGTTTAATAAGAAAAAGTAAATAACATTTTTTACATGAATAATATAAAAATCTTTTCACATTTATCTCATTTTTCACTCAACTAAAATTTGGATAAAATTTCTTCAGTTCTCTTATCTATTTAACACAATTTTTTTCTAGTACAATCTATATTTAGCATTAAGTTTAGTTGCCAAAGAAATTATTGCTGTTATTATTATTTATTAAAATTATGTATAGTGTTTCATAAAGAACAGTTTTAAATTTTGCTATACATTTTTCGTACACTTGACTTCCTCTAATCACTTGACATACATTAACTCTGTTAATACAATTACTAATCATGTTTTCACAGATTTTTTGATTAAGTTCACTGATAACTCATTGAATTTCTTGTTTAAGATTCAATCAAGTTCATGGCTTATTTGTATAAATCAATGATTTAATGAAACTCTAAATGAAAAAGCTTAATCTAAGGGTAATTAAAGAAAAACAAATGCATCCATGGTAGGTAATTGTTTGGTGTGGCTATCGGGAAAGTGGGGATAAGTCCATACTTTTTAGAAAATGAATATAGAAATTCAGAAACAGTGAATGAAGATTGCTATTGGAACATGATTTCCAATTTTCCTTAGCCTTTTTTTGGGATGACATAGTTAATGAAAAAATGTGGTTCCAGTAAAACAGTACGCCTTGTTACACTTCTACTTCCTGAAAAATTTGACAGCCGACTCATTTTCTTCTGAAGCAATCAGCAGTGGTCACTAAGGTCGTATGATTTACTCTATGTAACTTTTCCCTTAGGAGTTTCATTAAATCATTGGTTTAAAAAGCAAGCCGTAAACTTCAATGAGAAGTCAGTAAACTTAATGAAAAAATTCGTGAAAGCGAGGTTAGTAATTGTATTGACAGTTATTGTGTGATGAGCAATAAGAGGGTCATATGTATAATATTGTGTTTCACACTTAAACCTCAACTTGTTGTGAAACAATATTTACGTATTGTAAATATTGTAATGTATTTCTTGTAAAATTAAATTGATTTATAGCAAAATTAAAAACTGCGTTCTTTACGAAACACTCTATATATTTATTTATTTTTATTTATCACGTTCATATTATGATGAAATCATACAATATAAAATATTTTTTTATCAGGTTAAACTTAAATAATATATATATTTTATATCAATGGATTTTTATCCATAAAAATATATCTAATAGTACATACATCCAATAATTTTTTTGAGTTCATTAACCAGTATGTTGTCTTTAGCATCAGTAAATATGGTTAGCTTTTTTCGTTGTATCATCATGAAGGCGTCCTAAACAATAAAACATTATCATTTAAATTATATTTTACAACGAGAAGTTTAATAAAATAAGCTATCAGAAAATAAAAATTGACTAACCATTTTAGATGAAACTGAAAATATTTTGATCGTGAATTATACTGATAGTCAGTTTTTCTTAATAAAGTGATTTTGAAAGCACGAGGTCAAGTAATCTAAAATCTGTATTGCATAGTAAAGGCAAAAACAAACATTAGATTAGATAATACAATAATACAATCTATATAGGTTAATGTTAACACAATTACAATAATACAACTTCAACTTACTAAGGTAGTTAGTGCTGTTAGTATTTAGTATTTACTACACACATTATAGTATCATTAGTATCTACTGTATAATGTAAATACTAAATAATAGTAAATATTGATAGTCATTCTTTTTTTCGTTATCAATTCATCTTACTTATCAATTTTAATACAATTTTATATTACAGGTTAGCCAACCAACCACTTTTAATTTAATAACACATTTTAATATTTTTTGCCTTTCAATTTATAAACGGGCAACAACTATAGTTTAAACATGATTTCGTGAAGAATCTTAAGCAATTATTGATATATTGTTAAATTTACGATGACTTATTTATTTAAAAAAAATAAAGCGATTTGAATTTATGCTTTATAGTTTATAGGTAGTGATTTACCTAGTACCTAATCGACATTAATCTTTAAATTTTTAGCTACCTGTATAAAACATCAGAAAAAGTTTCATAAATTGTGTTTTGACTAACTATTTCAGAATTATTCATAAACTCGGACAAATATTATCTTCTGATTTAATAATAGGTAATAAAAAAATAATGGAACAAAAAACTAAATTTTTCGTTTACCTATGTATAAAAAATGTATAGTTATCTATTAATTAATAAACGTACAAATAATGAAATAAAAGAAAAAAGTTTGAAAATTATAAACAAAAATTTGACAGGACTAACATTTCAAGGGTAGGAGGGAGACGTGATGGCATAGTATTAAATGAATAATGTTGCAGGCCGCACTGATTTGACTGCTATGCATCATCGTTTTTTATATTATTTTCTGTTGTCAAAGTACCTATCGAACAAGTGTCGGATGACTCTTAAAATATAACTGGGACCGAATATGATGAAATCATATCACTTGCAGTATTAGACCAATTACTATACATAGTGACGTTGCAGTTTATGTTTATGGATGATAACGAAGCAACGGCCTGGTTTGTTTGTACGTTGTCAACAGCCTTAGACTTGGGTGGATTGCTACCACAGAACAATACTGTTACTGTATTAATAATTGGCACCGATAACTGGTGTAAAGTCCACAGAAACGGTCAAAGACGATTTCATCGAATTTATTAAAGCACAATAGATGTCGATTTTTTCAACAGTCGGACTTTTGGAGATTTTTCTGTAGGGCGTTATCATAGCAAAGTCTCGAGCGTACTGATATTTGACCAGACAGAAATGTGGTGTGGTGGTGTAAGGTTAGGTTACTACTACTACTACATTTTAATATTACACTTTATATTTAAATATGTATAATTTTTATTAATTAATATTATCAAGGCCCTGGGAGGTGATTGCCCCTTTGCCTACTTGGCCAGTCCACCCCTGGCAGGGAGTGGACCGTTGCCTGTACTGACGTAACGTTCTAACCCACCAAAATTTGTCGATCTGTCCAATACGTATCCCACGTAAAAAGTATAGTTAATTTGCTTTCTTTTTCTAGTTCATTTCCTTAGACTACTTCAATTCCACTACACCACTACTATTTAGTAATATTATAATAGTATTATTTAAAAATCAGCAATGGATTGTATGTACAATTGGTTACATATTGAACGACCGAATATAATGAGTCATTCCTATACTAATATTTCTATGCATTGAACTACAGCTGACTAAGCAATCTACAGATTGTAATACTTGAGGTGATTTTAGTACATATTATATATACATTTTTATTTTATTTTTTTATAGTACATTATCATCTATATTTTACCTATATAGTGTTGACTGTTAAGTCTTAGCTATTTTTTAGTTAATAATTTGAATGTTATTTTTGAATATTATATATATATATATATATACACATATGTATGAATGTTACATTTGTGTATAATCATAGATATAGTTATTGTTTTGTAGTTCATAATACCGTAAAATATTCATTTTTTCTTGTACGATAAACAGTATCAGTTTAACGAACATTCCCGGTAAGAACGCGTTGACGTAATACCCACACGTAAAGGTATACATTTATTATATATTACACATAAAATAAACTTAAATATTCATATTACAACCTGAGACAGACTAAAAACGTCTTGTTCAAAGTATGCACTACCTAACTAATTTAAATTACCTATACAAACCTTTCATACTCCAATATCCAGTATATAAAATCTTTTAGAAAAATAACTGGAGCCCCATAATATATGACCAATTTATTTACTTCATTAGAAGTAAAGACATATAAATACCAACAGTTAACTAATATTGGCAACTCGATACTACAAACAATTCTATTCCGATAAATACACTCATATCTCTATGTAATCAATCATCATCCTTTAGTCTTCACTCTTTGGAGAGACTAAAGTTAAGATGGAAAGATTGAATATAAGAAATATATTAAGACAGTGGAGCCGGAAATCCCAATAGGACAGTAGATGAAAGTTGAAAGCAGTATTGAACAGGTTACAGGGTTATGTGGCAAGGTTTGTATTTAGTGATGGGGTCTTTGAGACCAAAACCATAATTAGATACTATTATGAAGATGAATAATAATAATAATGTATAAATATATATATAAGATAAAAAACAAAAAATAAATATATTTTAGACCCCTCCCGCATCAGAAAATTCTTACAGGTGGATGGTTGTGCTATTAATATTAACACATTTTATCACCTGCATATTTGATGTATGAAATATAACACGGAATGGTTAAAATGAAAACCCAAATTTTAGGAAATTCGCTCATCGCCTCATCATATCATTAAAGAAATAGATAAAACTCCACATTTATCATCCCGTTTGATTTTCGATTAAACCGTTTTAACATTGACGCCTGTGAGCGCGTCAATCAGTAATTAACATGTAGAGTGCAGAGTGACGAAGTTCCAGCGAAACAAGTTTACGTATGTTTGTCTATTCATTTCCGTTTGCATCGTCATCACCTGTTTCTCGAGGATTACGACTTACGAGTCGAAGGCAGCGCGTCAAGGTAAGAAAGTATGTATACATTGTATAATTTACAACCTATAGGTTCCTTATAGGCTATAGCAATAGCCAATAGATATTAGTTAATACGTGTCTACAACTGTTTGATGATGAAAAAAAAAGCTAGGAAAATCACTAATAAGTAATTAGGGTGTAAATATTCAAATAATATAATTATAAATTATGCTCTATTAATATTTAAGATTCTAATGCTGATAAATGTATCATGTATGTATTTTCATACACAAAATACGAGTGTCACCCGAGGCGATCGCCCCTCTCTAAATACCCGTTTTTGAGTAAATATCACAATATTGTTTTCGCGTTCGTTACACGACCACAAGAGAGATAATCCGTTTGTGCCCACATCATTGTCACGCCTACAGAGCACGCACATAGTCTGATCCTCTCGCCACGCCAATTTCATTATTATTATTGTATCTAATTATATATTCCCACTGCATGGAATAATCTATACGCTATTAATGCTGTTTGCCGCTGTCGACGTCTTCGTGTGCAGGTACCACGCGAAATTCGTTTTATAATACATTAATACTTTAATAATGTCGTCTAACTGACTCATTTTCAAGTATTTTTACTTTTTTTGTAATTTGTTTTTATTTATCTTCGACATCAATCTAGTATTTCACGATGGCGCGTATAAATAATATATTTGAAAAAAGTAATATTTATATCATATTATATATTAATATAAATGTTATAATATATTTTTAATGTGTGTTGTTTATATTATATATTATATAGTTATATGCACTTTATGTACTTTATAGTATAGTGTAGTTAATATTATGTATTATACAGTATAATAGTATACAATGCATTGACTGCACCGAATGCATTACACCATTATTATAGAGGCTATATACGATGGTGCATGCATTTAACCATTATTTTATATATAGGCACAATATAATATACTCACGTAGCAATTTTTGTCGTTTTTTGCACGTGACGGTTATTCTTTTTTATACTAAATGGATTGTGATTGTCGTCATTCTTTCGTAACGATAAAACAATATATTATTATTTTATATTCATCGCAAAATTTTATATCAAGTCTCTTATTCAGCAGTCAAGTGCACTATCCTAGTCATTCATAATAATGTCGGTTGGCTTTAATAGCCACTCGACTGCTGTCCATCGTCAGCAACGATTGTTGATGTGCCGCCGAGCACGGAGAAAGCGAATTTCTTTGGGTTGTCAAAAACCGCTCTGTTGCGTCACGCATGCTCACGTTATTCGTCGTTTATGGGCTTATGTAGAAAATCCTAGTCAGAGTTCGGCTACAGTGGTAATGTTAACACAATAATAAGGGAAATTGGTAAAAAATGCAACCCTATACTATAAATACTATATATATACTATATTACAATATATTATAATACTATATATGAAGTATACGTAGAATATGTACTATATGTCAATGTGCCATGTGCTTAACAGGGTTGTATAGTTTTAATAGTATGTTTATTGAAATATTGATAAGTGTATATAATTTAATAATTTATATTAAACATGCGCAACGTAGAGGGGTATTTTTTGTTAGAAAATAATAAGTTCGAATATATATATTTGGAAATATTTTTTCTGAATTATATTTATTTGGAATTTTATTGATTTTAAAATAAATTTTGTCGGGTAAGTATTTGACACTTGTTTACAGCTGTATATAAATCAACCAAATAATATATATTTCCAACAAAATATTTTCCACGAAAATAATTTGTTCAAAAAATTAGATTTCGACAAAATATTGTTCAGTTTGCTACAATTTCATCTACAAGCGTGTTTCCAACAGAATATTTTTCATAAAATTACGTTCTTGACATAGGTACTTACTATATTTCAAACGACTAATGATTCTAAAGGTTCTACGAATGAATTATTTTCTAATTTTTTATGCATGTTCCATGATTTGTATAATACTTATTTTAACCAATTTTTGTTTTGGGACCGGTCATTGAAATAATAACACATAGGAACGTACATGGTTCATACACAATTGAAACAGTTGTATATAATATTATAATTATGTCTAGTTTTATGTATTTAATAAAAAAATCACTTTTATTTTTGAAAGTACTCATTAAACCAATAGACATATACAATATTGTTTCGAAAAATGTAAATCCACATTAAATATATA